ACAAATAAGTCTTTTTTTTTTTGGTTTCAAGACCTTATTTCACAGAATTTTAGTTTTTTAGTGAGGGCAACGTAGTCTTCTAGAGCGAGTTTCCAAGCTGCTGCATTCAAACCTCTGCATTAATAGTATGAAGCAACAACATGCTATTTTTTGTAACTTAATTCCTCCAAAATGTTGTGTGGATTACCTGCTCAAATGGAATGCAGAGAGTTTTTGCCCCCATTGCAGGAACACGAGGGTCATTTTCCTCTTCTCTCATACTTTCCTTTTTGATTTCATCTTCGCATTCAACACGACCACAGAAGGGTGACAGGAGAATAAACTTTTGATCTAGGAAATCTCGGAAATCATTCCATTCCAAAACAATCTTTGTATGCGATTCGCGAGTTTCTAGTATTCTAAAAATATTTCATTCTAGTGAGAGACGTTTTATTTCACGGTGAAGATTATCACTCACTAAATTGAATCCGAAAAAAAGCTTGCCTATTATACATGGAACAGTGAATTTCGTCCAGCATATTTTTGCATTTTGTAGCAAGACCATCCATAGGAATGATTCTTTTTTCGCCAGAATATCTGATAACGCAAGTTACCTAAACAAGAAAGCGATATAACAATTGTAAGTTGCACTAAAAAAGGGCGGTAAAAAATGATATTTCAAGCTACCTGACTATTAGCCAAATCTTTAGGACCAATTTCGATTCTGACAGGAATGCCTTTCAATTCCCAGTGATTAAACTTCCATCCAGATGATATATTATCCCTTACATCAAGCTCCGCCCGTATACTTGCATTCACCAATACATCATTGATTTCTTTTGCTTTTTCAATCAGAGCCACTTTTTGTTCATCCTTTGTTTGGGCAGTGATTCCTACGGGGACAATAATCATCTACAAAACCTAGGAATACATATATATAAGAATGAAAAAGACAAAAGATTTTCTTTTCGAAAGGCTTAAATTGCTAAGTGTATCTAAATTTGTAAGGCAAACCTGTATAGCAGCTACTTTGGGTGGAAGCACAAGACCATAATTATCACCGTGTATCATTACAAGAGCACCAATTGTTCTTGTTGATAAACCCCAACTGTTCTGCCATACATGGACTTTACCACTGCCGTTTGGGTCTTCAAACGATATGTTAAACATTTTTGAGAAATTCTGTCCTAAATGATGCGATGTAGCACCCTAAAATAAAAACATTATTCGAAAAAAAAGAAGAATTAAGCAATCTCCCACCTGCTTCTTCCTTTTTCTTATTCCGACTAATTCCAAAAAAAAAAAAGAAGTAAATAGATAAACAAGAACTGCTACTGTACTGCTGAGTATTAAATAAGGAATTTAGATGCAAAAGCCAATAACCTGTATCCCACGTCCATTGATAGGCACATAGGCTTCAACAGTAGTTGTAAATTCTCCGCCAGCGAACTTCTCTTTCTCAGTTTTCCGTCCTTTGATAACTGGTATAGCCAGTAAATCAGTGTATATTTGAGCGTATAAATCAAGTATTTTGAATACCTCATCTTCTGCCTCAGTTTTAGTTTGAAACGCAGTATGACCTTCCTGCCATAAGAATTCACGAGTTCTCAAGAACGGTGTCGGATGTTTGAATTCCCAGCGCTAAAACAATCAACAACCATTTCCATGAGTCACATGAAATGATAATTAAACAATATCTGCAATCCAAAATTTAAAAAATCAAATTAACTTAAAAGCAGTAGCCAGTTTCGAAAATGGTGAAAAATTTTCTTTTTTTACGGTGTCTGATTATGAAACGTACGACAACATTGCACCACTGATTGAGCTTAATTGGAAGGTCTCGGTGAGACTGCACCCATTTTGCATAGCTGGGATACATCACTGTTTCGCTAGTAGGGCGAATTGCAATCGCCTCAGCTAGATCCGATTGACCTGCCCGCGTTACCCAAGCAACCTACAATACACTGTATTGAAAAATAGATTTGAAAAAGCCAGATATATAATAAATAAACTTCGAATGATAACCTCGGGAGCAAAATCGCTGATGTGCGTTTTCTCTCTCTCCAAAGCGCTTTGTGAAACGAATAATGGAAAGTAACAATTTTTAACTCCTAGTTTCTTAATTTCTTCGTCGAACCATTCCTGAATAAATTCCCAAATAGCATACGACCACGGTCGCAACACATAACAGCCAGAAATGTCGTAATATTCTATCATTTCTGCTTTCGTTATAACCTAAAAATATGAAAATATGTCGGGAATCGATTTTTTGGACAACCACCTCCTTCAGCAGACATTTAAATGTCATTAACACCATAATACTTTAAAACCCAGTTGTTGACGTGTGTATACTAATACATGAGACTTTGAAGTCTTCCTATCAATTCCATTCCTATCTAATACTTATTAAGAAAAAAATATCAATATGTTCCGATGTCTCTAAAAGACCTCTATTATTCATTTTTCCTTACCTTTTTAAGAACATAGAGTAAATTACTTTCGATATTATTATAATATGAGTAACAGTTGCTTTATGAATAAATTAGTGCTACTGTTACTATATAATTAATACTAGTATTATTATATAATATTATTATTATATAATATTCAGAGCAAAATAAGCATATAATTACTAGCGTTATGGTTTTCCTAATCCTTTGCTGAATAATCTCTCACTGGAAAATATTTCATGCCATAGGCTTAATGTTACAGTGTTTCAAAATACAAAATGAAATAAAGATTAAAATAAGCACTCACAATACAAACTAAATATTTATCGAGATTAGCTAGCATATAATATGGAGAAAAAGCTAACCTGGACATACCATTCGCAATAGTTCTCGTCTTTAGTTACTTCAATACCCAATTTCGTTTGTTTCCTTACATCCCCTCGGCCTTTCATAGATGAAGTGGCACCTATCTGGAATCTACATATAAGCATTATTAAACAAGAAAACATGATGAAATTAATGAATTTGAAACTATCAAGCCCTAAATTCCAAGTACTGTTTTTCTCTTCTTATAATTAATTATCCTATCTTATCATCTATCTGAAATATGACTCTTAAAATATGTCTCATCTTTGGCGAGTGATAATAATTATGATGAAAGTAGTTGATTAAATATATGCTGCCGAAAATTTACTCCACTTGAAAAATTTACAAGAAATACAACATACATGAGAATTTGATAGGTCGCTTCCAAACTTCTGGACAACAGCTTTCCGCGAAGTAATTTTCATTTCCGACGCACCATCTTTAATGTTCGGTAGCGCCATTATGTTGTTTAACCTGTAATTATTATATAAACTTATAGGTGGAACCCTTCCCATCCCAAAAGCGAAAAAAAACGCAACATTAATTTGGGATAAGTCGATGAATCCATTCCTAACTGTAGTAGAAAATGTTTAACTTATCTCCCATACTGCTTTCCATAATAGTTGCCCTCAACACTGCTATCATTCTTTCTTCCCCCAGTAACTTCAATGTCTTCTCAATCTCTTACGATGTCATAACATCCATGAAATCTTACCAATCCTTGTTCTTTCTTGACAAATACGCTCCTTTCGCGTCCCTCAAACTTTCCCTTAACAACCCAGACGATTATCTGATAACCTCCCATATACCTCACGCTATACGACACCCCAGAAATCCTCCTAGTATACCCCAAATCTTCCCCTACTACAAACTCAACGAACCCCTCTCACGGAACCGTGCTACTTCACTTTACCCTTCACTGAAGATAATCGCTTTGAGAGTTTACTGATTTAGAGGAACGGAAAAATGAACAGTTCGATCGAATGATCAATACTTAATATTCTCGGGATATCTTCTTACACGTGTAATGATTAGTGGTAAACGTGAATTTCCATGTACTGATATATTGTACTTTCAAATTTTGGAAGCATTATATAACTACCATTTGGTAAATGACTTCAAAACTGAAATATTCCCGAGATATCTTCTTGTTTATACGATCTTATAGTATGATTTACTGGAAACAAGAAATAAAAGTAAAGTAAAGTAATGAAGTGGATGGAAGAAAGAAAGAGGGAACATCACACTTCAAAATGACTCCTCAATTGGATCTTTTTGGCAAATCCTTTGTTTCTCATCTCCCTAATCATCGATTTGTTGACTTTTAGCATCAATTTGATGTGATCAGTATGATTCAATGAGTATTTTGCTTTTTTGAAAATTATTTGACATCATCAGCAAACAATGTATGTGTGACAATGGACTCTTTTGTCGAGAACATCGAAAGTTATCTTTCGTTTGAAAATTGGGTGGCTCGATAGGTCTAAAATCGTAAATAAGCAAGAACGGATCCGAACCTACACCAACATCATTTGGAGCCAGTGATATTGGAAAATCGAAGCCTGAAAGTGCATATCATTAAGATCGATAGCTTAGTCGTAAATTTGTAGTAACAAGCTGCTTACAACCGGAATAATTTCCGATTTTGAAGTTGTCTGTTTGAGCATGAATACAGAGAGTAGGAAACTAACTTGACTTTGGCATTACACTAACAACTGATCTTACCTCCATCGAAAAAATAATTATTACCAGGTTCAACATCAATAATCCATTAAGATTATGCATAAATGGATTACAAAACAGTGGCTTGTATCGAAGCGATACAAAATTATCCGGAAAACTGTTACCTGTATAGATGGTAATCAAGGTAACACTCTTTATAAAAGGTATAGCTTTTTTTTTTCTTGGCTTTCATCCCTCTTCTTTGCTGGAATTTATTTAACGAGTATTTCATGTCCACAAAGAGCCACTGAATACGATCAATGGAATGTGAAAAAAAAAAGCAAAAAGAGAGATAAAAATAAGCTGGCGGAAAATATCACATCTATTCATGGCGGAAAATTCCTTACCCAAAAAAATGGAATATCTTTTGATACATAAACCTTCACAAAGAGAAAATGAGCACATTTCAGAATTGCATCTTCTTGGGAAAAATTGGATAGGAAGTGGACAAGGGAAAGAGAGAGAGATGAGTGGACCTGTAGTTTATTGGTTAAAATAGAGTGGACACGATCTTTTTCAGGGAAAATATGAGATTTGGAATGATATTGTGCTATCCAAAAACTTTTACTTGACATCGAACACTAAATTTAACACTGTTAAAGTTCTCTTGTTATATTTGTCATGGGTAATTTACCCGTGACAAATATAAATTCAACCGAGTGCTTTCGTTTTCCTTATCCTTTCAATATCATTTTATTGGCTCCGAAATGAAATCTGTGACGGAACTTACAATTAATTTCGTTGAATGAATATATCGGTGCCCAATGTTGCCAGTGTTTCCGGAGCTATTTCGAGTACATTGGTTGGACGACCCAATGATCCGAAACCAATCCGAATATTTAATCGACCCATTTTGATACTACCTGAAGATTTCCTTTTGAACTTAGTCATTCCAGTTGTCTGACGAGATAATTTATTTGAACATTGAATTCTTCGGTGTTATTACATCATTTTTCCCAACCGTTATTGTACCATCTCTTTACTTGTTAGATCAAAAGAATTCCAATCTTTCATTTCCATATGATTTTAACTTTATATCAATGGGGAGCCTATTTAGACGGTCAGCTGGAAACATTATAAAAGGTCAAACCTTTATAGTCCCAAATATCCTGACCAAAAATTAAAATATTGATATTTCCACTAACTGTTACTTGATTCCCCAGATTCATATCCAAACCTTCATTAAACTGTGACATAAACGGGAATTATCAGTGATAACGATGATGTATTACATCCTGGGAATGGCTACAATAGAATATATTTACATAATTTCTACGCTATTCACTGGTTCAATCAGTACAGTAACTTGAAATCTATTAGAAGGAAACTGATAGAAGAGTGGAAGATTGTAATCTTCAATTCGTACTTGGAATGGTGTCGTTTGATTCGAGTAGTACTACATACTAAATTATCAGCTATTAAATCGTATAAGATCAGTAAGGATTCGATTAGGATTGCAATGGGTCCTCATTAATATCTCATTTCAATATTGATGATTAAAAGGAACTTTGGTTCCATTAGAATTCAATTAATTATCATTTCTGGAAGACAAAAGGATGAGAAGAAGTTGCAATCATTTGCTTTTAAATTATTAGAATTTAGAATTTGAAATAACCCCTTGCTGACCTCATTTTCCCTCTTTTATTTCCTTTCCAACTTTACATTAAATGTTTGATAAAAAAAATTTATTTCAGAATTTACAAAAAAAAAAAAAGAAATCAAAAATATGCAAAATTATTATTGCAATTGCTAATTTTTTTCCCATTAAATGGAAAAAAAAAAGGATCAGAATTTAACGATAGAGTAATAAATTGGGTAATTTAATTCATCTTATGGCTGAAGCAATCATCATCATTCCAGGCCTATCGAATGGCCTAGAATGATGATGATTTATATGAGTAACTATAATAGAATATTTACTAAAATAGCCTGGAATGCTAGAAAAATTTCTTTGCTAGAATTTGTTAGAAAAAAAAAATATGCTAATTAATCGAATAATGTCATCCATCTGGTGAAATAAAGTAATATTCGTATGTGACAATCCTCCAATGTCAGTCACTCATCCCATCTCCATTTCTCTCTCTCTCCCTCTCTCTCTTGAGATAGATTATCTTTTCCATTCATTACTTCTCATCATTGTTTACCTTCTTTTTTTTTGTCTTATTTATCAGTATATCTTCCATAAATGTTTTTTTTTTCATTATTCCAAATGATGTTATCGGAAATGAAATAGAAAAACCTTTTAAATATTCAAATTTCATGGTAATAGTTTTCTTCTTCATCAACTTTTCAACTTTTTTTCTTTTTTTTTTTTTTTTTTATTCCATAATTTAATTATATGATAGAAAGGAAAGCAGGATAGGATATGGAAATGATGAATGGATTTCTTTTTTTTTTTATCTTTTCTTTTTTACTTATTTACTTTTGTTGTTGTTGATGGATGAATGATAGCTTATCCAAAATTGTCTAATTTCTAGAAATAAAATAAGGATTTGAACCTATTAACATAAATGTTTATATCTTATTAATCAATACTTGAGTAATGTTTCAAAAAAATTTTGCTAACTGATAAAAGATCAAGCATTTCATATCATTGAAAGCCTAACTAATAATCAAAACTAATTCCACAACTAAAATTTTAATCATTTACATAAAATCTTATTAGTTCTCTTGCATTGCAAATAGCAATCATCAAAGGATTACTTTATAATCAAACTATTTATTTCCTCACAAAACTTTCCTTCTTTATCAGTTTTCTTTTTTTTTCCAAATAATATTAATTTTCAAAACTTTTAAATTAAATGTAATTTGACCGAAAGTTCATTTCAATCACATTTCAGATTTTTTTGCAAATAAGAAAAAAAATCAAATTTATGCTTAATTAATTAAACTTATTTAAGCTTACATTGTAATATAGCTGAAATGTGATTGAAATGAACGAGTAATGTGTGAAAATGATTGATCGTATGTTTGTTCATTTTTATTCCATAATTATAAAATCTAATATATATGAAGCTACCCTGAAGCCATTTGGTTTTTTCTCTTCCACTAATTTATTGAAAAGAAAAAGTTCTCCCTTTATCCAATCCAAGCATATTTAATAAAATATTCCCATTTTGATCGTCCTTTCATTCTAAAAGCTAACTTGTCCATTTTACAACTCTCATCATTTTCAGCTTTTTTTTTTAAAAAAAAAAACTTTCTCATTCACATATTTATTATTTTAGCACTTCTTCGATGATATTTTCAATCTTAACAATATCATCTCAATAACTGTAAATTTTCAATTTTGGCCAAACAACAAAAATTAGAAATGCTTGATAAAATAGGTCGAATTTGGAGACAGTAACGGATTTCTTACTTATCATTGGTTAACTTGTCCATTTTATAGGTCAAAAAATGATAAATGTAAATTTTTGTGGGGAAAAGAACTGTAATTTTTGTATTTTCTTCATTTATTTTCCTGTCTTTATTTTATTTTATATATTTAATAGTTTTAAAAAGCCTCATCATCCCTATGATTTCCTTGGCTCTTTTTTTTTTGTTGGCAAAAATTCTGAATCGAGCAATATCATTTTTATACTAATCCAAAGGATAATCGTTCCACAACAAATTTTTTTATTTGTCTAGCGAAATATAACAACTCTTTTTGCAGCTTTCAACCAACCATACTTATAAAGCCAAAGCTTTTAAATTCAGGAAGTAATTCCGACATGGAACACCTACAAAGATTATATCTGGTAGCAGCTTTCTTGAAATGGTTACCTTTGCTAAGAAATCAAAGATGAGGCCAAGAATAATTTATCTTTTGTAACTGTATTCTTTTACAATCTTATGGAGTAAATTTTATGAAAATTGAGATACTACGTGATGAATTAGTGACTCTTCTTGACGATTAAAAAAAGAAATTAAAATTCAATAAATGTTTACATAAGAAATTGAAGCATGATTAAATTTTGCTTAATTAGCATGATTGAATGATGGAAGATTAAATTTCTCTATAAAAATATAATTAAACATCTGATTAGACATCGAATACTGTCATCGTCCTTTTGCTCTTTAACAAGTTACTGTATCGAATTTGTAACATTGAAACAATATATGTAATCATAATGATTCGTTTAAGCTTTCTTTTTTCTGCATCACTTTTAGGGATATGTGCGAATTTATTGTCAATGATTATACTATATCATACAGTGACCATACTATATCATACGGTGATCATACTATACCATACAGTGACCACACTATATCATATAGTGATTATACAGTAGGATTTCAGAGAAAAAAATGAGAAAAAACAAGATTTTTGCATCAAAGATTGAAATCCATATGACAGAAGGCATACTGTTCGATTAATTATGAATCCTTCTTGCTCTCTTCATCCAGAAATCTAAAATCAAATTATATTACCTTAATCTCTTTTAATCTTCGACTTTTTTTCTTTTTTGTTCACCAGAATTTAGTTATATCTGAATAAACAGTAACAATTGTTTTTTTTTGTAAAATTTTAGAGATGAAATGTACCCTTATTTATTGGTGAAACTATTTTTGGGAAATAATTGATTACCGAGAAATGATTTCAGAATAATATTAGTTGATTCGTTTATTGGTTAGTGTTGAAATGAAGCCTTACTTTTTAAGCTTAAGCATTGAAAATCCCTCATTGCTTTATCTGATCATCAAATCCCAAGAAAAAATTTCCTTAAACGATGAACAGAAAGTAGAAAAAGCAATAATCTTTGACCTTGTTGTTTATTGAACAACTATCACATGAAATTACGTTTTAGGATTAATTACTGAGAAATATTTTCAGAGCAGTATCTGTTTATCCAATCTTTTCAGCTGTTATTACTCGTCTTTAGCGTGCAATATTTTTAATTAGCTCCTAATAAACAGATGTGATAACTGGATAATTCACATTGCTGTTATATTTCAAATTCACTTTCCTTTTGACATTCACTCCTAAAATGGATTGATAATAATTTAAAAAAAATTAAAACCGACCTCTGTTCTCCCTCTCTCTCTCTCTCTCTCTCTTCTTCTTCGTTGTTGGTATTCTTTTGTACATA